CGAAAAGGAAAAGAATCCCAAGAAGAATATAGGGAAGAACCATGTCTCGATTCGTGTTTGTATTCGTGCTCCTCGCTGTGGTTGTTGCTGCCCGTAAGTTTCTCTTAGAATTGATTCTGTAAGCTTGATTTAGCACCCGAACACCGTGGAAACGAAAGAGTAAAAGTTAATCTAAAACGGATGAAATAATACCTGTATTCTTGCATCTGTTTCTCTGAAGATTTTTAAATTCACTAGCTACTCGAGACTCTAACTGTTTCGATCGTAAAACTTTTTATTCCAGTCCCCGACGACGACAAGGACGAGAAAAAGCACAGAACCGACCTCCATAAATGTCCGCCGAACGAGGAATGGAGTCTTTGTGGAAAAATTTGCGAACCCAGATGCGATAATCCAACACCAAAAATATGTCCAAGAATAGTGAGTACCAGATACCGTGAACGTGATTCTATTATATCGACGCGTGTTTTTGCACCCATTTTACTGTATCGTCGTTTCGGTTCCAGGCGTGCAGTAAGAATATAGCTGCTTGTCGCTGCAAACCAGGACACCTTAGAAACGAGAAGAACAGATGTGTCAGACCCGAGAAATGTAAACGCCACTGCAAGGACCATGAATAAATATGTCGTCTGTGATAAATACATATCGATGACTAATAATAATTAATGATAATGTAATTCTTTCTACTAAATTTAAACACTTATGTCCATAGATTTTATTTGAGATGAATAAATACTTTCTGCTAGCATAATCTTTGGTTCTTTCTTATTTGAAATTATCAACACGATCTACAACATATCTACCAACGACGGTTTATCTCGATAAACACAGATGACATGTTGGTAACTCGAAGAAAGTCTCTAGTATAAAACTATGCCTAACGTAAACTAGCCATCTTGTCGAACGAATCTTCGATATCTCGTAGACAACAGTATCCCATATAAGGAATACAGGTACTACCAAAGTGTCAAATGGAATTTTGTCGAACAAACCGATCTTTGCTATCTCTTGAACAATATTCTCCCATACAAAGAACATATCACCGAAGTGTTGTTAAGTTAAGTTAAGTTCACATCTTGTGAAACAAATCTTCGATATCTCTTGGACAGAGCAGTGTTCCCATATAAAGAATATACCAAATTCTCACGACTAAGAAATTGCACAAACGTGCAAACTCCTGGCCGTTCATCGTTGCCATCGGTTTCGAAACGAAACGACAGACGCGTCGAACGAACGCGAATGAACGGAGGAGGCGAAACAGAAATGCCTGTGCATTCGCCTGCGGCCCCGTCGTCTCCGAGAGCGTAAAGCAGACCTCGAAACAGCTTACATAAGCCGTCGGACTGAGTGGCTTTGCTACCTTGAAGTCGGTCGTTGCGCTGTCCCCGTGCAATCTCGCTGCACGCCGCGTATGCATCGAACGTTCTTTACAGCCGACTGGCAATCAAGACCCGCGCATGGACAGACGGACGGGGGGGAAATGAAGGAGGAGGAGGGGAACAACAACGGATAGATTTCAGTATCAACGTGGGAATGCCTGAGCTCGGTATCGATCCTCATAAGAGGGATAATAAATTCTTGATTCACGTTCGATGCGTCAGGGTCCAGGGCGACGTCGTTAGGAAGAGGACGACAGTACGCGTCGCGGTTCTGAACGCTTTCTGTATTATTATTATTCCTCCTCCTCCTTCGATGGACCCCGGTGGGACCAAAGGCAGCTCCGACTAACGAGGCAATTCCTGCGCGCGATGGAACGTTTAACGATCCGGGACCTCGAGTATAGATTTTTATTTTCATCGAAACCCGAAGAAACCTTGCGATTTTTGCGAGTTTCTCCCGGACGGCAGAGACTTTTCTCTCGTGACTCGATAGTTCGTTAAGAAATAACGCGTTAGAATAATTGATTTAATCGTCTACAAACGCGTCGGTCGTCGATGCATTTCTTCGGAGAGGTTTCGTTAAACTGTCGATGGTTTCAACTTCCTGATCGAGTCGAACCCCTGTAAAAGGGAGGAATTCTCCGGAGAGTCTCTCTGTCAAATTTGTCGGGGACAAGTTCGACATCGGCGAGACGACCGAATTGTTTCCAGGAATCTGATCGAAATGTCGAGACGACCTAATTCCAGGGGGACGTGACCAGAGACCGAGTGTGTGTAGCTGAGGTACCACGCTCGTCCACCCCTCTCGCGCGCGCAATCGATTCTAACGAGAGAGGCTTAGGTCGACCGATCAACCCCGTATAAATCACAGCGACCACCTCACTCTTCTCATTCTCCCCACGGGGTGTTAAGGCGAACGGGGAATGGTGTTCCCCGATAAAAGTCAGAGCTCGTGAATTCTTACCTCGAACCGATCGAATGGAAGTGAGAGGTCGGAAAGATCGCGCCACTCCGAATCAGTAGACGGGATTAACCAGTAAAACGTACCTGCAACATAAAAGAAAAAGAAAAGACATGAATAAACCGTTCTCACACCGTAATGTTCAACATTACAAACATATGTTCACGCGTTTCAATAATACCTCCGGATCAAAGAAGAAAACAACGCTTCTGTTTAATTTATGAATGGTCTGTAATTCCCCTTTGATGCGTGTGCCAAGTCTACAAATTCATGGAGAACACTCACCACCCACCAATCCACTCGACTATTTTATATAAAGAACGTAGAGAAGATTCGAGGCTTTCCCAAGCCCATAAATCTCTCAGTTCACAGCAAACAGGGAGTTCGGTGGCGGGAATACGAATGGAAAATGTTATATAGATGCAACGGGCAGATTCTGTAATCGCGACGCGTCCCACGCGCAACGAACGCCGGAAACGCTGAAATTCCAAGCGAGGCGACGGTAACCCGTCGTCCACGGGACGGAAACTATCACACCGCTGAGCATGTCGCAGCGCGGGCTAATGCGACGAGAATAACGCGCGTGAAGGGGGGCTGTGACTCCTACGATAGCAAAAGAAAGAAAAAAAAACATTTGCAAAAATCGAAGCACCGAGGGCCGACATATACAAGCTAATGGTGATAATAATGGGGCCAAGAAACGCGACGGAACACTCGTGGTAGCGTGCCCGGCGTTGATTTACTTTTCACGCTCGAGTGGAACTGAGATCTCGATTGACTGAGAGACTCGGAAATCGAGGGACACGCGACCATTGAGCTACACACGGTATGTCCGTTGTAAAGTGTAATCGGTGCAATTATTTCTGTAAGTAGTAAAAATACGAAACGGATTAAAGTTTTGTGATAATCATGGGAGATGTTTTCACGGTGATAACTATTTGATTTAACGGAGGAACACAATACTGAGGAGACACAGGAAAGAAGCAGTGACTGAGGAACTGGACTGTGTGCTTCTTGATTGTGTCTACGCGTCGTGTGACCTACCAACTGATTGGAGTTCGTTTAACTGCTAATATCTCTGAAATGGAGCTTCAGATTACAAAACGGTAAAGGACTTTTCGATTTGTATTTGCATGAGGAATATGCGTGTTGCAGAGTTTTCTGAGACACCCTGGGAGAACCACTGTGCGTGCACAAATCTTAAATCCTCTACGATAGACACAGACTTTGAACAGAATTAATGAAACTTTCAATTTCTAGTTATTGCACATAAATCCAATTAATTAGGAATTACTCGAATTTGTTTCTACAACGAGAGTTCGTCCGTCAATGCCATGCTACATATTCAACGATGTGTCACTCACGGTCACTGTAAAATACAGGCCACCAATTCTTGGAAACGGGTTTACATATTTGTATTTGATAGTTTACGATAATGTTATCTCGCAGGCAAAAAAGTATAAAGACTCGGACAGCGGATATATTCGCCATCAGAAACGGAAGTGAAACGAAAAACGAAGAACTATGGCGAAGATATTTCGAGTCTTGATCGCTCTCGTGCTCAGTGCCGTGATTGTCGTGGTTATTAGTAAGTACATATATACTTATATATATTTACAAAGGTTAATCGAATATCGAATATATCAAGAATATTCAAAAGTACGCTCAGCTCAACTTCCACAAATGAATATCACACGAGAAAAACGTGTAAACACTTATTATCATATCTTTGGATCTAAGTCACTCCCCTTCTCAACTATGTTTATATTAAAGTACTCACTTTTAGTAACCAGATAACATAAAAATCAGAAATTCATCAAGAATGGACTTATCATGTTTTTCTCCTGTGGTATTCGAACTCTTTGCTCGATTTGCTCGTTAACTACAAGCGTTCCGCATGAATATCCAATGAATAAAGGTCCCAATGAACAGGGCTATGCGATCCAACCTAAGAGACACAGACACAATTAAATTTCTTGTTAATGTTCAATTTAAGCTGCCGCCGACAACCAAACGTGTCCAGAGCATCAGACTTGGGATTTGTGCGGACAAATATGCGAGCCACGCTGTGATTTTCGGAATCCTAATATTGTTGTATTCTGCCCGAGTATCGTAAGTGACCTATTAACTGGTGGATACACTAGTAAATAAACACGTGCCCGTGAATGAACATTATATATAAAAACGGATAAGTTACGTTATTAGAATAAGCAAATGATTGAATATTGATTTTTTCTTCAATTCCATATTTCATGTTCAAACAATTTTCGCACCATTGGTTAGAAATGTTAATTTATTGATTTATGTTTATTTACTGATGAAATTTGTATTTTCTTCTTTTTAATTTAAATGATTACATTTTTCTAATTTTTCAATTTGAAATCTATACGTTATAAAAAAGTATAGATATTTAAAAATCTAATTTTCATGTGCCAAATATTTATAAATATTTATATCATTTAAAATTCGATTTTAATATTTGGTTATAAGTGTTCTTTCATTGGTGCGTTTACCCTACTTACAATAAATATTTTATAATAAGTCCAACCCTCTAAAACATGTTTCAATTCTCACATTCATGATACTGGTGGATCTGTTTCAGGTGTGCAGCACCTACACATCTGCTTGCAGATGCGTAAAAGATTATTACAGGACAGAAGATCGTACCGCATGCGTGGCTGCCAACGAGTGTGAGATGTAACACAGAATAACCCTGTCGTCGATGAATTATAATAACATTGTACCTATACGTACTAGATTTCACATAATATGTATACGCAACATGTACTGCAGTATAGTTATATTATAATTACTAAGCAAGAATCCATCAATCAACTTCGTAATTCCTTATCAAATAGTCTCTCGAAATCGTAACTAATCAAGTTCAGGAAGTAACGAAAACCAATGACATTTTACACGTCCTCCTTCATTTAATTTCAACTATTCTAAGAATTAGATAAGGTACAAACTGATTAAAAATACGTAAAAAAAATAACACCATGTGTTATTTCAACTTTCAACAAGTCGCACGATAGGTGATTTCTACAAATTGCAACATGCGTACAACAGAGTAGCTGGTAAAAATCTGTTGATTATTCAACTTTACAGCCATACTTTATCTTCTCAATGCAAGTTAAATCTATTTCAAACCCAATTAAAGTCAGAGAATTACGTCCATTTTCCTAATTACAAGAAAATTCCAGAAAAGTTCAATGCTAAGTAGTTTTTCTGATTTTCAAAAAATAAAACCGTTGCTAGATTTATTTCGCAACCCTACTGCCATTTTGCCCGAAAATGCACCTGAGTCAATACAGCTTGAACTCATCGACATGCAAAACGATGAGAACCTGCGAAATGAATTTAATGATGAGTTTATTAAACTTCTATCGTTGGATATCAATAAAAGCAATT